AATTATTATTCCTGTATTTTCTTTCTTCCCAGTTTGAGCAAACCTTACATTATTTCCTTTTAATTCCTATATTATCTCTCTTTCCTGTTATTCCAACCGAGTCTGTCTATATCTATATATCTAATCTTCTGCTTTCCACGCTTTGGTAATCGATTGTATTAGTGTTTTAATTACATTCCAAAAGTTTCTTTACTTTCCTCAATTAACATTCTTAATTAATAAATTAAAATACTTAATTAATCAACTTAAATACTTAATAAATCAATTAAAAAGCCACCAAGGGTCTCCATTGGCCATTTTGAAGACTTGTGAAATCCCATCTGCCTCCTCCTTAGGCTTTTATTCATTCTACTCTTTTTAAAAAGAGGCCTGTGGGTGTGACCTTGGGCAAGTCACACTCTCTCAGCCTTCTCAGAGGGGGAAAGCAATGGCAAAGCTCCTCTGAACCAATCTTGCCCGGAAAACCCACATGAACAGGGTCCGCCATAACTCGGAAAAGACTCGACAACAAACAAGAATACCAAAAAAGAGGTCTCAGCCTCACCATCTGGAGCGCCCGGGGCCGCCGCCTCCTCCTCTTCTCTTCCTCCGTCGACGCTCCTTCCTCACAGTCCGCCATCTTCCTTCTTCTAGACAGACTCCACAAACCAAACCCACCTCCCGTCAGCCCCTGCGGAGGCGGCGACTAGAACCGTGCGCAAAGGCTCACGGGAGTCGTGGTCCGTGCGAAGCCACGGTTGACCAATCCCAACTCGGGAAGCTAAGAACTTCCGGTTTGTGTTGTGAGACTACGACTCCCACAAAGCGCCGCGGCTGGGCTCTTTGTGTATGTGTGGGGAGGGAAAGGGCCCCGACGAACTCCGTTTCCCAGAAGCCTCCGCGGCGGCAGCAGCAGCTCACGCGCTGCTTGGCTTGTCCTGAGGGCCTTCCTCGACGGCAGAAGGAAGGGAAGTGAGGGTCCGGGCGGGCGCCCAGCCAGGTAAGGAAGCGGAGGGGCCCTCGGTGGTCCCCGGATGGGCTCTGAGGGTTAGGGACGGCCTCAGCCGGCAGCATAGCCCAGGCTTGGCTGCCAACGACGACGGAGAAGAGAGCCACCGCCGCCTCCTCTGCCTCCTTTTACCTCAGCCCCGGACTAGGCCGCGTCTCCCCGGCTGTAACCATGGCAACCGCCCCTCACTCAGGGAAAGGCCCTCCTCGCCTTTTTCTCTCTCAAGCCCCCTCCCCCCCCCCGGCCTCAAAAGCCTCCTTCTTTTAAAGATATTTAGGAGGTCGAGCTTCTTCTCTCACGGGTGGCGATTTCGGCGGCTTCGTTCCTCCTTGGTCCAACAACAACAACAAAAACAACAACACCCTGCGGAAATAATCCAGTTTTGACACCGGTTTCCACTGCCAAGGGCTCGGCGCTATGGAATTCTGGGAATTGTAGGAGTATGTGGTGGCGCCAGAGCTCTCTGACGGGACGTGCTAAAACAAATGACTGTACTTGCCCATAGGGAATCATTGGGGAATACTTGCCTATCGGGAAATATTGGGAATTCCTTGACCATAGGGAATCATTAAAGAGTACTTGCCTATAGGGATACATAGGGGAATACTTGCCTATAAGGAATCATTGGGGAATACTTGCCCATAGAGGTACATAGAGGAATATTTGCTTATAGGGAAATATTGGGAAATACTTGTCTATAAGAAAATATTGGAGAATATTTGTCCATAGGGATACATAGGGGAATATTTGCCCATAGGGATACATAAGGGAATACTAGCCTGTAGGGAATCATTGGGGAATAGTTGCTCATAGGGATACATAGGAAAATACTTGCTTATAGGGAAATATTGGAGAATACTTGCCCATAGGAATACATAGAGGAATACTTGCCTATAGGGAATCATTGGGGAATACTTGACCATAGGGATACATTGGAGAATACTTGCTTATATCTCCAATGTTTCCCTATGGACAAGTATTCTCCAATGATTCTCTATCGGAAAATATGGTTTCCCTATTGGCAAGTACCGTCATTTGTTTTAGTATGTCCCCTCTCAGGCAGAGGTCCAAAATACATTGCAGAAATAATCCAGTTTGAGACAGCTTGAACTGGTTTGATTGTTGGTCTACAACTCTGGAGTGTGTGTGGTTATGCACCTTCCAAGTCATTTCCAACTTACGGCAACCCTAAGGTGAACCTATCCTGGGGGTTTCTTGCCAAGATTTGTTTAGAGGAGCTTTGCCCTTGGCCTCCTCTGAGGCTGAGAGAGTGTGACTCACCCAAGGGTCCCTCAGTGGATATCTAAGGCCCCCTGGCAGGGGGTCCAGCATTCTGGATTGCCCCTAGATTCCTATCAAATAGTTGATTTCCTTCACTGCCCTAAAGCCAGTTACAGGTTATATCAAAACTACAAGTCATTATGACTAGCAGTCTTTTTGTAATGTATGCATATATTTGATGAGAGCCAGTGTGATGTAATGGTTTGAGCATTGGATTACATTCAATTCCCCAATCGAGCATAAAAACCTTTTGGGTACCGTAACCATGGACAAATCACACTCTCTCAGCCTCAGAGGATGGCAATAGCAACCCCCCTCTGAAGAAACCTTGGCAAGAAAACCTCAGGATA